CCCTCGGGTGCGCTCGGGTGTGGGGGTGTTGAAGCGCTGGGGGTGGGGGTTCGAGGCGTCCCTCAGGTGTCGCCCCAGCCTTGCGCTGCCTCGCACCCCCGTCCCGCAGAAGCCCCTCCCCAGCTTTCTTGCAGGACCTCAGGCGACTGTGGTCCCTCATGAGTGTGTGGGACATGGCTGGCATGAGGTGGGATGTGGCTGGGGGGGCATGCCCTTCGAGTCCTGCGTGATCAACTGCCCGGAGCTCAGGGAGAGCCCTGAGGCTCAGGGTGTGTTGGGCTGGAAGCGGCCTTGAGAGGCCATCGAGTGCCACTGCCCTGCAGTGACAGGGACATCTGTCACTGGGTCCGGCTGCTCAGAGCCCCTCCAGCCCGACCTGGGATGTCTCCAGGGCTGGGGCCTCCACCGCCCCCCTGGGCACCCGGGGCCAGGCTTTCACCGCCCTCAGTGTAAAGAGCTTCTTCCTACCGGCTAATCTAAATCTACCCTGCTCTAGTTCTAAAACTGCTGCCCCTCGTCCCACTGCTACACGCCTCCGTGAACAGCCCCTCCCCAGCTTTCTTGCAGGACCTCTGCGTGTAGGACCTCAGGCGACTGTCTCCCTGTCGCCTTCTCTTCTCCAGGCTGAACAACCGCAATGTAGAGAAGTGGCTCACAAGAGTGAAGCATATCTTCTTTCCTTAACACTTCATCTTTTGATGATGATACAATCAGTGAGGCGGAACATCATCATCTTGTACTAAGGGAGAAACGTGGCGTTGCCCTCTAACACCCCCGGCACTGACTGATGTCAAGGACAGGCTGTATGTACGGGTTGATCCAGTCTTCCACTTCCTACCTTCCTGAGCGTCGATATAACTCACACCTCGATGGTTTCCAACCCAAATGCTGCCTGCTCCGGCCAGTACTGTGAGACTACAGGAGCCATACGCAGCTGTGGAAGTTTGTAGCTGTTTAATGTGGTAGTTTGCCAGAGACGAGCCCTGTCTGTGCCGACGGGTCAGGAGTGCGACATGGGATCAGCAGGGAGAGCCAGCCGTGAGGGAGCTCGTTGCTGGGTGGGCAGCCAGGCCTCACATCCTCAATTGCTGGGTCTCCCTTGGGGCCTCGTAACCTTTCCTGCAAGGGGAGACCACTGTGAGTCCATTCCTGCAGCGCTGCTGCAACTCCCGGCACGACCCACCTGCCCACCAACACAACAGGAGAGACACCTCCCCTGCGTCTCCACCGCCAACACCCTCCGGCCGCAACCATGGCCACGAGCAAGAGCACCGCGATGGCGATGCCAATGGCCGCAGCTGTGCTGTGGTTTTCTGAGACGGGGAGAGAAGAGGGTAACCAACTGAGTGTGGCAGCACCAGGCAGGAGCTGCCCCATCACAGGGCTCGTGGCTGCTAGCAGCACTCTGCACCCCATCCCCGCCCTCGTGGTTGTCTCCTACCCCATGGGACGAGGAGGCTGTCGGTGCCCAGGCTGCAGTGGCGCACGCGGCAGGCGTAGCTGTGCCCGTCACCGGGGTCCACGGCCAGGATGCTGCGGAGCTGGTAGGTGAGGTCGGCGTTGGGCAGGATGGCGCTGGTGTTGAGCACCGGGCCCGGCGGCACCTCCTGGCCATCCCGCAGCCAGGCCACGCTGATGGGACGGGGGTAGAAGCCGGTGACGCGGCAAACTAGCAGCAACTGGGCTGGGCTGGGCGTGCGGGCAAAGACCGTGGCCTCTGGCTGGTGTCAGCAAAGGGGGTTGGGGGAGCTCCGGGGGGCACTGCTTGGCCCCCATGTGTGCAGGGCTGTGGGGTGACTGTGCCAGGGTCAGGTCTTACCTTGTCTCTCCAGATCAGCTTTCCCATATCTGCACAAGGTTTGGATGTAGCTTGGGCAGGAGATGGAGACAAGATGTGCCACAAGCTCAGTGACAGCCCTCTCACTGGTGAGGGACTTGCTGACCAGCTCTGCTAGTGGTGACGTCTGCTGGGGCTCCCAACGCCGCTTCTCTGCCTCTAAAACAATCAGGTCTCTGCCACCTTCCCCGACATCCATGAAGCCCCTGCTTGTCTCATTGGGGTGCCGCACACAGCCCGCACGGATCTGGACAATGAATGGGTCTGCCAAGGACAGAGCCAGTGGAGAGGTCTCATGAGTGTGTGGGACATGGCTGGCATGAGGTGGGATGTGGCTGGAGGCACGTGCAGGGGTGCGATGGGTGGTGGGGTGCAATGGGCAGCAGGGGCCAGGCTTCAGGAAGCTCCAGGACACCCTGCAATCCTGCAGTCCCCTTGGAAGGCCGGACTAGATAAAAGTCCACTTAGCATGGGGTGGTTGCTCTCCCTTGCCCTCCTTGCCTCTGCCAGCCACGTGTCCCAGCAGCCACAGTGTTTCCCATTACCCTTTCAGGAGCTGCTGCACCCCATGAGACCCCACAAATGCCACCCTGGTGGGGAGAAGGGCACAGCCAGAACCTAGGAAAAGGGGCTGAAGCTCTGGCTGGGGTTGTCCCCATACTCACACTCCAGTTGTCCCTTTTGGACCAATTCTTGCAAGTATCGGGCCAAATTGCGCAGAAAGAGTTTGTAGTGGGACAGGATCTTCTTCATATCACCCTCAGATGTGGCCTCCTGGGCCCACGGCCAGGGGAATTGGATGCTCCAATCATCAGGATTCAGTACGAAGATGGGCACGTCCCCCAGGAGACCCACCCCGGACATCTCAGCATCGCTGATGTTGGCGATGAGGCTGGTCTGCAATAACTGGAAAACTCGTGTCTCTGCTGGGAAAGAGGATGGGAGTGGGAAGGGCTGCAGGAAAGACGATATGAGCGGGAAGGGCTGGAGGAGAAACAGGGGATTCAGTGTAGATACAAGGAAGAAACTTTTTACAGTGAGGCTGGTGAACACTGGCACAGGTTGCTCACTGAGGTGGGAGATGCCCCAGCCCAGGAAACATTCAAGGTCAGGCTGGACGGGGCTCTACGCAACATGATCTAGCTGCAGATGTCTCTTGTCCGTGCTTATTGCAGGGGAGTTGGACTACACGTCCTGTAAAAGTCCCTTCCAACCCACCCTATTCTATGATTCTGTGCTATTCAACCCACCCAGGCTTGCTTTCCTGTCTGACCTTCCTCTACCACTCTTTTCCCTTCTCTATTCTACTTTCATGTTTCTTTCCCACACAGGATTTCAAGCACTTTGTCCCCTCGCCGTCTCCGTCCTGCCCAGCACCTGCTGTCTGGCTGTGTGGAGTACAGCCTCCCTTTAAGTAAAACTTATACGCCCATAGTTGGTGTCTTGGGAAAAGTGAGCAGGAAAGCCCAACAACAGGAACTAAAATTCAGCTGTGCCAGACAGTGCTGCCCCAGGAATTCAAAACCAGTCCTAAATTATTCGGTAACCTACTGGGACAAGGGAATTGGAGGATTGGCAAGGTAAGAATCCTGCCTGATCTAGTCGAGAGGTGGCGTCTCTGGCAACAGGGATTAAAATGATCTCTAAGGTCCTTTCCAGCCTAGGCCATTCTATGATTCTCTGATTCTGTCAAGTTACTACAGTATGCAGCTGACACTTTGCTGGGAACCCCTTACGAAGCAGAATGCCAAGCAGCCACCATCAGCCTGCTAAATTTTCTGGAACTTGCTGAGCACCTCAGCTCAGAAAGCAGATGTGGTTGTAACCTTGAAGGAAGAAACAGAGGCTAAGTCATTACCTGCCAATAAATTATAGCCCTAATGTGTGCCCTGGAGCTTTCTGAAGGTAAACAAGCAAATTTGGAAGGAAAGAGGGCTTTATCTTCTCGAAGAACTCCTATCAAACATGGGAATCTCCTACAGGTTGTGCTGAAACCAAAGGACTTAGCTGCGATGCATGGCAAGGCTCATCAGGGAGGAAAAATTGGTATTGTTGATGGAAACCAGAGAGCAGATGAAGCTTTCCATGATAAGGGTGTTGGTCCCCACAAAAAGACTTGCAATGGCACATGCTCCTGTGCATTCAGGAAAGAACAACCAATTTGCTTTGAAATGCACCAAATCCCGGGATCAATGATGGGTAACTTACACCAGCCAAATATTAGTCACTGCTCTGCTGATAAGATAACTGATATGGAAAAAACACCAACAAACACACATGGGAGCTGATGCTGTTGTGGCAAGTATTAAGCTATATGCAGTCAGTCCAGGGCATGACTTTATATCAATTTCTAGTGTATAAATATTCTCTGTCCTGTCATTACGGTGTGCTAGTTTCTCAGTGCTAGCCAGCCAGCAGCAGATCCTGTGCAGCGTTGTAATAAAACATGATATCTCGTCTCTGCGTGTGGATTGGGGTTTACACACCAGGTAAAGAATCCATTTCTGGGACAGCACTCTGACACGGGAGTGAGAATGGCTTGGGTGAGCCACTTACCCTCTGGATCTGCCCACAGTCCAGGGAGGAGGAGAAGGAAGAAGAGGAGGCGAGGGGGCTTCATGGTGCAGAGCCGAGCAGCAGCAGCGACTGTGGGAGGAGGAACAACCTGTGGAGTGCCACACTTCAGACCAGCCCAGCGGTCATGGTGCTCGCTTTCTGCCAATGCAACCAGTGTAGACACGCTGGGGCTGGGGACGTGTGGGAGGAAGGCTGAAATAAGGTCTTGAGCACGACTGCAACACTGATAATCTGGTACCTCAAACAGCCTGGCCCTTTTAGCCACCTGCGGCGCGCTGGCCAGTTTGTACAGAGTTCACTCGGAACCTTCCAGTGTCCCGGGGACAGTGTGGGGACAGGCAGGGCTTGGACCTACGGCTGCAAAAACAAAGAGGTCGAGCAACGGTCACAGCG